TTTGAAGAACCCTCAGTTTGTCTTTGACATTAAGAAGACCCCACACATAGACGGCTGTTTGTCAGTGATTGCACAGGCATTCATGGACGCCTTCTCTCTCACAGAGCAGCAGCTGGGGAAGGTAAGGCTCAGCTCTGGTGTTTCTTGGATGTGCTGCCATGAGTGTGACACACAGTCATTCACACGCTGCTAGTCCAAAAATGGCTTATTACCTTCAGAATCAGATTTTCAAAAAAAGCACTGGTCACATTCAATTGCAAACTGCCAGTGAATGACTATCTGAATACACAAAGTCTGAATATAATAGAGGGTTTGTGGGGAAGAAAATTTTGCTTGATGTTTCCAATAGTGTGTTTGTCAATTGAAACAGACAAGCGAATGTAAAAACCCCAAGGAAACACTTTTTGTTAAGATAACTACAAGAAAGTAAAGACATAAAAATACAGAGCAAACTTCAAAAGAGACGTTGGTCTTATTTGAGCTCTCTCTGTTCCTAATGGATCCGAGAGCATCATAACAGCGAGCGGTGGAAGGACCAGCGATGGATGTTTCTTTTCACAGATGCCTCAGACTTCCTCCTCAACCATACACCACTTCAAGAGAAACAAATCTGTTTTTGCTTTTGCCTTCCTTAGTCAAGTGTTTACTACTCACTCCTGGCTCCCAGATCTCTCTGCCCCTCATGCCTCCTTCCCCAGCCAGGCCAATAACTGCCTCCTAGCTGGTGGCTGGGGCTCTGCTGGCCATCCATCTCCCAAACTTCCTTTTCTAAGACACAAAGCCCATTTTGTCAATTTTCTGTGTTTGCTAGCTAAGATCTTCACATAGTCCTCCCTGGCTGGCTTGCTCCTCTCCTTAACTTCTGCCACAGCTCTTAGTTTTCCAGTCCTTTTGCTGTGATGCTTCCTGTCTCATCGACCCTGTGTATTGGTTCACCAAACAATTTCCTCTGGTACCTCAAGAGGTGAGTTGGGCTCAGATGGTCTAACTAGATGTACTTGATGGACTTTTTGTTCCTCCATATTCCCTACAGCACTGTCCTCACTTGACAGGCTTAGTGCTTACTATATGCAAAACATCACTGTTCCTGCTATGTCAATCTTCAAGCATCGCAGGAGCTAATAATCCTTGTATTTATGGATGGGGAGGGTTATCTTTTCAGGTGACATGTCTTGCCTGCAGTCACCCCAAAAGTAAACATGCTCTGTCTCAATCAACAGCCCCTTCTTTGACCTCCTGCTGCTCGGGCTTTAAATCACAATAAGCCCCGAACCTTTTGGGCTAGAGGGAGAACTTCTCACAGGGCAGATGCCGGTCATGCTCAGCTCTGCACACCCACCGCTTGCCCATAGTGTTGCAATAAATGTGAGATCAGTGGGCACGCCTAAAGCTTCACAGTCTCAGCTAGCCTTCAAAGTGAGCCTTCGAGGATCCTGGCCCCACATTAACTCATCTGTGCTTTACAAAGCCTAAATTTGACTCAGAGCAACCTTCCCTTATGGGGCTTGTGAAATATTTCCACTGTGATAATTCCATAGAGCCGCTGCACAGTCAGACACCAGAGCAACCCTATACTATGACCATGTGCTTCCTTGAGGAAACTGGAAGATCTTTATAATTTAATGAAACAAAGAGGGACCAGCTGAAAAATCTACCACTGGCAAGTACTTCCCAGTTTCATGGCTCTACAAAAGGGCTCAATTAGACCTACAATCGTGTCTTTTATAAATGCCAGAATTCACTGGTGGGTGAGGATGAGAGCAAATGTTTTTAATTCAGCCTTTTTACAACCATTAGTAATGAACTATGATTGAAGTAAGTTCCATTGTTACAGTAACTCAAAATCATGCAAAAATAATAATTTTAGTTCTTTTATGAGAGGAAGGCAGAATATATTAGCATTTAATCTGCCTGAAAATAACAGTGACTCACCAGATCTATCTAGATGGCAGTCAGTCACTCTCCGTCAACATCACTCACCAAGGCCTTCTGCGGGAGCCATTTCAGCAGCAAATCACTGTTCTGCTGGTAGAGGCTCACCTAAAATGGGATTGTTGTAAATTCCCCATGGATAGTGACTCTTTCGGTGTTTTTTTAATTCTCTTCCTCCCCCCAGGAAGCACCAACTAATAAACTTCTCTATGCCAAGGATATCCCAACCTACAAAGAGGAAGTAAAATCCTATTACAAAGCAATCAGGGATTTGCCTCCATTGTCATCACTAGAAATGGAAGAATTCTTAACTCAGGAATCTAAGGTATGATTTGAAAACAGAAATAACATTACATTTGATTCTTTTTGGAAAATAACTTCAATATCTCTCAACAAGGCTTTGTCTTTTAGAAACATGAAAATGAATTTAATGAAGAAGTGGCCTTGACAGAAATATACAAATACATCGTAAAATATTTTGATGAGGTAAGATTTTAAGTGACCTCTTGTCCACCAATTTGGTGATAACTTCTGCAGGTCTCGGGACAGCTCTGGGCGGCCAGGAAGCCTGTCTGAGATAGGGGATCCTGGCAGCCAGCCAGACCCTCTGACAGCTTTATCATGCTGCTCACCTTGGGACAGGTCTGAACTTACTTATCAGAATGGCTTTAGGCCCCCATGAACTAAAAATGTAAGTAGTGGCCCTGCTAAATAGGGCCAGCTTATGCTTGACTAAAACCTGAAAGCTAAGCTTGTTAAATCGCCTAGATTCTGTATTTAGTAGCTATATGAAATTATAACATTTCTAACTTGAGCAACTATTTCAATAAACCATTCTCCTAAATGATTAATTCTCCTTAATCTGGATTTTTTTCTTTGAGAATTCACACAGACACTTTCATCAGGTGCTTTGTTTCCAAATATATGTTAATCCCCCCTTCCCTGATTCCCCCCACTCAGTCATGCTGGACAGGCTATCCATGTCAATGGTGAGAATAGCTCACCAAGTCCATTTGCTACTTGAAGATCAAGTGAAGCTCCAAGGTAGGGTAGAGGCAATGAGTTCCTTAAACATGATAAGCATCCTTCTCTCCAGGGGTCAGGGGTGAGGAGGGAAAGGGGGCGGGGGAGGGCGAACAGTGCTCAGAATGGGAGGGAAGTGTTCATCTCTGACCAGGATGCCCCTGCCTGCTGCACTTCAGAGGAAATACTTGCCTGCATGTTGGCTGCCCAGGAATGCTTGCTGTGCTTGGAATGGCTGTGACACAATGCATAAAGGTCGGGCCTTGGAAGTCTGGCCCCATATTTGTAAGCAAATAGTTATTTCTTGCAAGCTTCTATTTTAAGCCAAAGTGTTGTTGATCCTGTGATAATGACTTAGCAAAAACAACTTGCAAAGTGAGTATGTAGATGATCAAAGAAAATGTTGGCATCTGTTACATACAGATTTTACCACTCAGCATCAGGAATGCAAAAAAAAAAAAAAAAACAACACAAAATACCACCCACCAGAATTGTAATGCTAAAACCACAATATCTAAAATAACTGTTCTAATTGTCAACAGATTCTAAATAAACTAGAAAGAGAACGAGGGCTGGAAGAAGCACAGAAACAACTCTTGCATGTCAAAGTCTTATTTGATGAAAAGAAGAAATGCAAGTGGATGTGAGCGCTCGGGGGCCTGGCTTAATCTGGCAAAGTTCTTCAGACGACTTGGGAACAAAGTGGCTGCTTGAGCTACTCTTTGTCGTTAATGTTTTGTTTGCACATAGGTTCCACTTGGAGAGTCCAAGGCACATGCACAGCTTTCAGAAGGCAGACCAACCGTGGTGCCTGTGTATACACCGTGGGAGACCTTCTGTAAATAGTCAAAGTGGTTGTTGCAAACAGCCTCCTTGTTTACAGAGAAAACAGGGCCAGTAAGCAAGTGGCAGTATTGTAACTACAGTCTCCATTTAAGCACAATGACAGAAGTGGTTTAGGTGGTAAGTTCCAGCTATGTAGCACCCGTGATTCCACTGCACCTCTGCCAGTGCTCAAAGCAGAATGTGAAATGAGTCATGTGGAAACAAGATGGGGGTGTTAGGGCAACCTCGAGGATGTGCAGCATCGAAACTTTCCCCAGTAGTTCTTGGAAAAGCTGACCACAGAATTTGGTAGTGTGTACACTTAGCATTTGTGAGTGTGTGTGTTTAAACCAAAAACTAACAGTGTTGCAACATTGTTGAAAGGGCTCGTGTTTTTCAGTGGTCACCTACTGCACTCCATCAAACTCACCTCCATTTCCCCAAGGGGCTCTAAAGCAAGGAGAGGGAGGGAGCTTTATCTCAGTGCAACAGCGTTATACCAGATACTGTGTCCTAATGTACGGTTTTTTTTCCTATTTTTAAATACTAAATGTATTTGATGGTGGACATGTTGAGTATTGTAAAAGAAAAGTTGATTTCTGTTTGAAAATCTTTGATTAGAACTACCTGTGGAAGCTGTGTCTCCTTGCTTTAGATTTCTGGTGAACCCTGTGGTTATAAATACTTGTGTGTGATTTAAGAAAAAAGTACATTTTACATTTTATCAAATTGCTGTTCACACTGGAGTATTATATATAAATATATATATTTGAGGCCCAAGGCCTGGAAAATATTAGTATACAACTTGGTATCTTAGTCTTACTATGTACTTTCGGAAACTATTCTTTGAAGAAAGAATTTAAAATACACATTCTATTCATACCTTTCTTTTTAAAGAATTCCTTATCGAGTTATACTGTAGTCTTTTTATTGCTGGTTTTTTATTCCTGAATTTTTGCTGCTCATGACCAATTTAAATACCACTGTGTTTTCCTTCGATTAAATCCGAAGAACTACAAAGCATAATTGGCAACTCTCAAGCTTTTCTTGCAGCAGGCACCTTTTCATCCCTGGTGCTCCAAATCCTTGATTGGGAAACAAACTTTTTCAAGTAGCAAATAAAATATCACACATTCCTTAAAATCATTTACTAACACTGTACGGAACACCAGGATTTCAATGTCACTTTGTTTCAGATAACTACAGAGCAAAAAAAAGGACTGCAGTTATCTGGCAGAGTGAGAGGGGTGACACCTCAACAGAAACAGATCAGAGAAATAAGCAATTACCACTCAGACAGGTTACCTTCCCAGTCCTGTCGTATTTGACCATTGTTCATCCAATGGATACATTTCAAAAATACTACCAAATAGGTTCCTTCTAGATAAAGGTGAGAGGTCTGGTCCCATTCCAAGGCTGCTACAGTCTTCAAAGAGGTAAAGAACAGATGGTAGGAGAGTTGAGAGCCAAGGGTAGGAGAGTTGCCCAAGAGACTTCCCTTTTGTATAGGGTACAGAAAACGCAAAGGCTCTGCGACAGCTTTATCTAAGTCTACAGTAAATGCTACGTGAGGGTGTCCCTGTCCAGATCTCTGGCACGCGAGCCCTGCAGGGGGAGTTGCCTCCTCTCCTCTTGCAGGGCTTGTGCTGTTGGGAACTTTGGGCAAGTCACTTACCTCTTTGTGCCTCAATTTTCTGTATAATATTTCTAACCTACCTCACTGAGGTGGTGTGAAGATTCACTAATGTATGTAGCGTGTTTGTCAATCCTCCAGTGAAAAGCACTATCTAGATCACATTAGCCAAATGTAGTCAATGGCCAAATTAGATGTGTGCTGAAGACAATCAGTCACTGGGTCTATTCAACAGCAACCAGAGAAACAAATGGCAAACAACTTCTATTTTCAAGTTTATTTGCATATTTTTTTGGTGCAAGACCATTTATAAACTTTTTTTTTAACACTAGTGTCTACAGCAGCATTTAAAAATTAATTCTGTTACTTTTTCTGTATTAGGAATTATAGTCTATTTCTTACTGTATACATGATTGAAGTTGTTCTTGGAGATGAATGTTTTAAATGTCTATATACAAAAATAAACATTTTGATGTAACTGTGGAGTGTTTATTTTTCTTCCCCTTCATTTTCCTGGTTACAATAGATTTTTTAATTCTCAGTGGTTCTTTGGAAACTAATTTTTCACAAACAAGGTGTCACTGTACATGCTGTGTGAATAAGCAGCTATATTATGTAGTAAATAAACCTAGTGTCTTGCTAAATAATGCTAAGGGCTGCTCAATTACATTCCTGGCCTCTACTATCAACTGGGACTTCTGGCTGGCAAGACTTCTGGATAATGAGCATTCCATTTAGTTTGGCAGACTTAAGCTTTATCTTGTTGACATGAAATTATCCCAGCACAATTCCTCCAAAGAACATTACATTAAAAAGCTTCCAAAGAGTGCTTTGTGGAGGGGGGGTGGGCAGGAAGTGTGGGGTGGAGTAAAGGATGGTATACTTACGGACACGTAGAAATAAAATATTTGTAATTTGTTTGACCCTAAATAGTGGAAAGCAAAGTTAAATACCAGCAATACTTCTAGAAGACCCAAGTCATTCCTACCTCCCCATTTTTTTTTTTTTTTTTTTACCATGGCCACAGGATTATTCCACTTCAAAGCCAAAATCAGTGATTTTGTTTGCATGACTACATTTACACTTTGTGGCTGAAATGAAAATGAAACACAAAGCAAGGTAGAAAAATATTAATCTTTAATAAATTATGCACAACCTTTAGAAAAGGTACTTTGTAATGAATATATATAAAGTAGTTGTTACACTTTTCACTTTATCTTCAGAAACTAGAGGTTTGTAACTGCTATACCGTAAGCCAGAAGAGGCTCACTGACCCCTTTTAAAATCAAGCATCACAAAAACAAGGAAGAAGGAATCCAAGATGGGCATGTTGGCTGCAAAACGGGCCAAAAATAAAATCAACAAATTATTAATTTAAAAACTTGATTCCCTAATTAGTTCCTGACATTTATTCTTATAGTTTCGAGTTTCAAAGGGTTGTCAAATGGTCTAAATATCTGAAATTTCCTTATCATGCTTCACCAGTTATTAGCACAAGGCCCCAGTTCTGACATGCAATACACAGAATGCAGCATTTAAATTTTTTGGCAAATAGAAAGTGTCTAAATGCCACGTCTGTGAAAACTTGAGCTTTACGGACTGATTTTTACCCCTTCCGAAGTGCCTTTTCTCCAAGAATGTTACTCCCCAAGAGATCCAAGTTCTTCTAGTTGTTTCCTTTGCGTTGTTTCTAGTTCTTCAAGTCTTCTACGAAGCAGAGAGAGTTCCCTTTGATGCTGCTCCTCCTTAGAATGATTCAAACAATACAACACAGTGTTAGAGAAACCAAGAGACATAATTGTTGGGCAGCGGCAGCAGCCTCAGCTGGCTTCTTACACAAGCGTTGTACAGTCTGGCAAGGCAACAATAACCATGTTAGCAGCATGGGCTAAAGTACAGATAACCATCCTTTTCTCCCGCCTTAGGCCATAACTTTCAAATCTACATTCTGTTCTCTAGAAGTAAAATTTACTAAGAAGGCGAGTTACAAAGTATTAATGGCCCAGGTATACTCACATGGCATCTTCCCCTTATGAGATGACTCTAACAGCAACTGACTCTAAGCATGACTTGAGATTCACTTTAGTAACTAAAATTATTTGCTTACAATATTATTATTAACAGTCAATCTTCTAAAAGGCAATCAATCCAAAATCATCAGTATCTCAGGGGGTCTTACATAGGAGATAAATTTTGAATCAGATCTAGGTTTAAAAAGTTTAAAACCTAACTCACTGATTAGCTATGACCCCCTAAGCATGTCACTTCATCCCTTTGTGTTAATTTCCTCATTTATAAATTGGAAGTAATATTACCTGCTGTCAAAGCATTTTCATTGGTAGTAGATAATTATTGCATGGACAATGCACAGTACTGCATCAGTAAGTTATACTAAATTCTGGGTTATTCAAAACTCATTAATCAAGGCTCCTGTTGTCCAATAAGATTCCCAACACCATTGCTGAAGGACAAAATATTCAATAATTCTTCTCTGCAAATTTTTCTGGTTGATAAACTGCAAGATGTTAGTAAGTGGACATTCTTTTTTTAATAGCTAAGGTTATCTGTACAATTTGAGTTTGACCTCTGTATTTAAGCAGGTAGAAACTAACAGAAATGGTTGAACATCTTCCCCTACAATGAGGGCTCGTACCTGCATCTGGGGAGGAAAGGACAGGTCTGTGCCAGGAACCACAGCTGATGGCTGAAAGCTAAGAGGAGTGACAGATGCTGCAGCAGGCACGTTGGGAACCAAAATTAGACTTCGAAATTCATTATGCCTTCTCTGTATGTCCTTTAGTCTTTTTTGAAGCCTTGTATATTCTTCAAATGGAACATTTTGCCTTAAAAACAAAAGTGTTCTTTAATAGTTTTACTGAAGAACCATATGATTCACAGAATACAAACTTAAATTATAAAAGGATATCTAATGGGCGTTGGTGCCATGAATCAACTGGTTAAATCTCCACAGTCAAGTGCTGACATTCTCTATGGGTGTCGGTTCATGTCCCAAATGCTCCACTTCCCATCCAGCTCCCTGTAAATGCCTGGGAAAACGGCAGAGGATAGCCCAAGTCCTTGGGAACCTGCACCTGTATGGGAGGTCCAAGAAGCTCCTAGCTTTGCATCAGCTTAGCTGTTGTAGGTATTTGGGGAGTGAACCAGCAGATGGAAGATCTTTCTGCCCCTCTCTCTGAAAATCTGCCTTTACAGTAAAATAAATTTTCATCTCTTAGTTCCCAGTCTCTTGGCTACAGACTGACCCAAACCTATACACTGTGACCATTTAGGAGGTTAACCACCACATGGAAGATTCTCTCTATAGCTTTGCCTTTCAAAAGAACCCATCTTAAAAAAAAAAAAAAACAGACAAACCTCTTGGGAGTAATAGTACAATATAATAAAAAAAGCATTTAGCTAATAGCCCTTGGTTCTTGGCACGCAGCTCCTAAAATCCTTATAGTTTTGAAAGTGACGAAGGGTACCTTTTGCACAGTAATGAGAAGTCCAAGGCAGGTGGGAGAGGATGGCTCTGTAACTTTAGGATAGAGAGTAGGGTATGCAATGAAGTCACCAACATGAACAAAAAGTGCCAGGGGTCAGGGAGCTTCTGGGTTGCTGCAGATGTGGAAGGTCTGGGCGGGCAGGGCACCGGCAAAGAGCAGGGAGGCTCACTCCCCCACCAGCACTGTTCCTTCTGCATTTTCCATCTGTCCATTCATTTATATTGTTCATAATTTCCTTCATCATGAACTGGTAAATGCAAGTAAAGTGTCTCCTTCAGTTTTGTGACCTGTTCTAGCAAATTAATTAAACCTAATGAGGGGGTTCTAGGAACGTCTGGTTTATACTGGATCAGTCAGAAACTCAGGCCACAACCATGAGCTTGTGGTTGGCCTCTGGGAGTGGGGACAGTCTTAGAAAATTAAGCCCTCAACCTGTAGGACGTGACACTATCTCCAAGTAGATGGCATCAGAACTGGATACAGGACACCAAGCTGGTGTCTACTGCAGAAACAATTGCTTGGTAAATGTGACAAACTCCCACACATCTGATATCAGAAATGTTGTGCTGTGAGACAAAATTTTGGCTTTTGGTAGCTCTCAAAGTAAATAAGTACAAAGGGGAAAGTCACCCAGTGTCTGAGGGGAAAAATGACAAGGAGAAAAACTGAATTTTTCTAGGCTTTCCTATGTTCCTTCCTGACCACCAAGCACAGAAGTAATCAGTTTAAAAGCTACATGAAGTTCTGGATGATCTGCACCACAGCTGTCTACTCTTCAGCTGGCCTTATTCAATACTAATGGTTAAGGAAGCATGGTTGAGTTTGTTGTTAGAATGATTTGGATGACTTCCTCTACAGACAAGATGGTATGGATTCTAAAACCTTGAGTACACTAAGGAAGAACAAAAAACTAACCAAACAGCTGTTAACATTTTGCAAGAATTAGATGCAAGAAAACCAGTGCACATTACAGAGTATCACTGCATGGTATCAGGCATTTCCATTATAGAAAATGCTACTACTTGAATAGCTATAAATTGCTGAATGCTACTATTAACTAGCTGAATTCAAAAATGTTTTTATTAACTTCAATAAAGTGGATCACATCATGCTACTAGCACCAACTTAATATATTTAATTTCTCTGCTTAAAATCTTAATTATGCCAATTATTAATTCTGGAAAACCAAAGCTGCAACCCAGTCATGTTTTGCCATGTAAGAAACCAAAAGCTGACCTTTAGTTCTAATATTTAACTACGCAGTATTCGCAATGGTCTTGCCATCTCGGCATCAGGAACTGACCCTGCTCCTAGCTTCCAGAGTTAGTCTGTCATTGCCACTGACTGACCTGTCCATCTCAACCACTGCCAAAAAGCTGCTGTATGACATAGAACACTGAGCTAGAAAAAAAAAAAATAATAATGAGGATAAAGCATGGTGGTGGTGGGGGGTGATTATCAATTAGTTTTGCAAGTCTTTTAAAAGCACTTTAAGAAAAATTAAGGGTAGGCATTATGGCAAAGCAAATTACATAAGAACATGCATGAGTTGTGCTTCTGATCCAGTCTGCTATTGAGGCAACGGGAGGCAGCTGACGATGGCCTCAATATTTAGGGTTTCTGCTGCCAAAATGGAAGACTCCTGGAGCTCCAGCACCCTAACTTCAACCTGGGCCAGCTCCAGCTGCACCAAAATGTGGGGGGGGGCAGTGAGCCACAGATGAAGGTCTCTCATTCTGTCCTTCAAATAAATATATCTTAAAAATAAACAATGATAAAAAACTAATTATATGTTTACTTTGTTAGCAAAGTACTTTGTGTGAAATAAAAAAAAAACACATGCAATATACAAGAGTACTTCAAAACATTTGTGAAAAATGGAGTTTAAAGATAAATCTGGTGCAAAACATCTCGAAACCCAATCTTATTTTTTTCATGATACACATTTTAAAATGTATGCACTCTCATATAGTCATTTTAATTTTTTTCTGCACCAAAATACTGTATTTTTAATGCCAATTGTCTGAACTTTTGAAGTGCTTTCGTGTAATATATACACATTACCTATTTAGCACCTGATTTTCTGTTTCCAATTCTTCTTTCTTGGCCTCTAAGACTTCTACTTTCTCCTGAAGTCTCTTCAATTTGTTTTCATAAAGAGATTTTCTCTAGAAAAAAATATGAATAATTGTTAATAACCAATTTGAATAATCACTACATAGTAAATACTTCACACACCCAATCAAATTTTGTGTAGATACAAATATTTTCTATTACTAGGAACAAAGATTAGCAGGATAGGGCTGTTAACAAAAACTGCAAAGGCAATAACCACACATCCGCCTCATATTCCTACTGTTATGGATAGCGAAGCAGAAAAGTAGTCTCAATAACTAAATTAGTGCAAATAAACACTCCTAAAATCAAACGTTAAGGTTTCACAATGCATCTGCCTGTCTTCTGCTCAAGAATAAATTCTTCACTGTCCCAAAAGAGAACATGTGGTTCAAGATACTGAAACAAAACTTGAAACCATGCTTGCAACTGACACATTTCTATTACAGCAATCAGAGCATCATAAAGCTAAGGTATATTGTAGGTGCGTCTCAGATGCAGTTTCTGCAGGAGGGATGGGGCATCTGGCCTCACTGCTAAGATACCTGCACTCCACATTAGAGTGCCTGAGTTCCAGCCTCCCTCCAGCTCCTGACTCCAGCTTCCTGCTCATGCACGCCCTGGAAGGCGGGGTGATGACCCAGGTATTGGAGTTTGTGCCATTCACATGGGAGGCCCTCTAAATAAATAAATAAATAAATAAAATAAACAAATAAATAATCAGTTTGTCTTTCTAAACACTGACAGGAAATGTTTAAAACATTCAATATAGAAAGGAAAAAAAAATTCCAAAAGCAAATGTTCCATTCATGCAAAATGCAAATAGAGTATGTATGAAAAAGCATTTTTCTGTTGTTTTCCAACAGACATGTATAACGCTGGGCCATACTTAGTACTATAAACCTTTCAGATTTTGTTTCCTTATTTTTAAACTGAATATAACAAGGTTATAGAAAAATGGAAAATGAAACCCAATGAAAATCCATAAAGCAAATGCTAGCACAATTAGCTTGTAACTACTACACCAGAAGTGCCCTCACCACTCCAACTTCCAGCCATGAGCCCCACGCTCTGGAAAGGCAACCAAATAATTCATTTCCACAGCAACAGTTTAATTCGGCCTGCTTCTGATTTTAAGTCTGTCACAAAGTATTTTGCTGGTGACATTTATCCATGTCATTGCTTACAGGTTTAGCTCATTCATCACCATATAATTTATTCCACTAGGACTATTTCAAAGTTCATTATATTCACTTAGTCTACTGTTAAGTCTATCTTGGAAAAAAAAAGTACTTCAAAAAGGTCATGAACAATGGAATTAAAGCTAAGTTTGCTTTGGTGCAAAATTTCTGATATCCATTTAATATTTTAAGGGTTTTTGGTTTGTTTTGGTTTCTAAAGGTACATATACAGAGAGGAGATACAGAGAGAAAGATTTTGCATTCACTGATTCACTCCCCAAGTTGCTGCACCGGCCAGACCTGAGCCGATCTAAAGCCAGGAGCCAGAAGCTTCTTTTGAGTCTCCCATGTGGGTACAGGTTCCCAAGGCTTTGGACCATTGTCTGCGGCTTTCCCAGGCCAAATGAGGGAGCTGGATGGGGAGTAGAGTAGCCAGGATACAAACAGGATTTTAGCCACTAGGCTATCACACCAGGCCCCACTCAATCTTTCATAATACATTTCTTGCACGTTTTTAGCACTGCTTGTACAAATGTTAGTATGGGCTTCCTTCTTGTGCTGCCCATTATAAGCCCCTCAAAGGTTTCTCATGCTCCTCCTGTCTACCTTGGCTACTTGGAACAACTCCTGCCCTTTCCCACCACAGAATTTATGTCATTTGTGGTCAAGTAAGGAGTCCTCTATCTACTCACTTATTCATATGAAGGAAGTCCTGCAGCACATATGCCTTTGCATTTGGGGTTTCTCAACATTTTATCTACACAATCAGGCCACTGTTTAACATATCACAATAGTTATCTCTCAGTGTTAACGTCATCAGCTAGTGTGAAGGTAGACCAGATTTATTCGTTTTTCTGCTGATGAAAAAGGAGTTATTGCAAGTTTGGAAGCACTGTGAATTACATTTTCAATGAACACTTAATACTTTTTTGTAGATAAGCACTCATTCTCTTAGATTTATCTAAGGGGGTCATAGAAAATAGGTACTTTCGGGCCTGGCACGGTGGCCTAGTGGCTAAAGTCCTTGCCTTGAACATGCTGGGATCCCATATGGGCGCCGATTCTAATTTTGGCAGCTCCGCTTCCCATCCAGCTCTCTGCTTAAGGCCTGGAAAGGCAGTTGAGGACGGCCTAAGGCCTTGGAACTCTGCACCGTGTGGGTGGCCTGGAGGAGGTTCCTGCCTCCTGGCTTTGGATCGGCATAGCACTGGCCATTGTGGTCACTTCAGGAGTGAACCATCAGATGGAAGATCTTCCTCTCTCTCTTCCTCTCTGTATATCTGACTTTGTAATAAAAAATAAATAAATCTTTTTTAAACAGACAACAAAAATACATACTTTCTAGACTTAAGTGTGCATGTTTTAGAACTTAGTAGATACTGCCAGTTTTCTAAAGTGGTTCTACCAATTACATGCCAGTCAGCAATGCACGAGTCTTAACTGTTCAAACTATTCTAATGCATGGGTTCTAACTGCTCTACATCCTTGACAATACATAGTATGGTCAATCTTTTAAATGTTAAATATTTTCACAGAGTACAGTAGTATTTTACTATAGTTTAAATGTGTGTTTTCCTGAGAGTAAAGATGTTGAATAAATTTTCTTACGTATGTTGCCGTCTGAATATCCCCTTTCTAACAAAGTGCCGGTGCCAGGCTTTTGTCCATTAGGGTAACAATTTCAGTAATCATTTTCTTAATGATTTAATAGTTTTTAAAAAAACATTCATCTCTTGGACCCGGCACAGTTGCCTAGCGGCTAAAGTCCTCGCCTTGAACATGCTGGGATCCCATATGGGCGCCAGTTCTAATCCCGGAAGCTCCACTTCCCATCCAGCTCCTTGCTTGTCACCTGGGAAAGCAGTTGAGGACGGCCCAAAGCCTTGGGACCTTGCACCCATGTGGGAGACCTGGAAGAAGTTCCTGGCTCCTGGCTTCGGATTGGTGCAGCACTTGGGGAGTGAATCATCGGATGGAAGATCTTCCTCTCTCTCTCTCCTCCTCCCTGTATATCTGACTTTCCAATAAAAATAAATAAATCTTAAAAAAAAAAAAAAAGAAAAACTATGGTACGCCTACACTACGGAATACTCCTCAGCCTGAAGAATGAAACCCTGCCTTTTGCAACAAAATGATGTAAGTGGAAACCATTATGCTTAGTGAAATAAGCCAGTCACAAAAATGATAAATACTGCCCCTGATCTGTGGTAACAAATCTGCAGAGTACACAGAAAAATGTGATTTATATAAACAAAAGGGGCATCTTGGGATCTGATTATTTATTGTACGTTTATAATCTTGAGGAATAGGGTTTTTTCTTTTTTCTTATTATTTCTGCTTATTATTATTAATGCAAAGTCTGTGATTGCAAAGTGAGTGAAAATACGCCATGGAGAAAATTAAGAGAGTAAGAAATAAGGGAGGCTGAGAGGTGGCTGGGGAACCACAGCAGGAGGGAGAAGGATGGGAGCTATTGCTGTGCTCCTAAATCTGTACTGTTCACTTTTTATAAATAATAAAAAAAAGACTGAAAGCAACAACAAAAAGACATGTCTCATCATGCTCATACTTCAGCAATGAGCAGAAGCTGGAAAGTGATACAAGGGAAGCCAGCACTTGAGCACTGCAGCGTTAGACCCCTGATCAACCTGTTCTCAACAAAGGTTCCTATCTGAAAACCAAAATATGGCTGGCATTGTGGCACTCCCTTCCATGCTAGAGTTCAATGCTGGCACCAGTGAGTCCTGGCTGCTCCACTTCTGTTCCAACTCTCTCTGATGTGCCTCAGAAGTGGTGGATGGCCCAAATCCTTGATCCCCTAACCCATGTGGGAGACCCAGATGAAGCTCCTGTCCCTCTAGCTGTTGCAGCCGTCAGGGCAGTGAACCAGTGGATCTTTCTGTCTCTCCCTAACTCTGCTTTTCAAATAAATAAGAGATATCTCTAAAACAAAACATCCTAAATAATGTAGTTTTAGGCTTAGGATATTGGAGCTCTAACTATACATACATTCAAATGACAGTTAGCTCACCCAGTTCAAGGGTAAAAATTAAGTAGGCACTCTTTGGTTTTAAAACCTCTTCACAGAAAAGTAACTCTTAAGCATTATGATTTCCAACCTAGAGTTTACCCTGTGTGAGTTAAGTTAAGGTTCTGGCTTCAGCAGGCCCCAGATACGGCTGTTGAAGCCTTTTGTGGGGTGAACTAGGGGGTAGAAGATCTCTCTTTACATATATTTTATAGATTGTTTATCTCTCCTCTGTCACTCCACCTTTCAAATAAATAAGTAAATCATTAAAAAAAACCTGCAATGAATATTTATTACAGTCACATTAATAGGCAGGTATTTCGGCAGGAAAAAATATGACTCCCAAGTCACAGTTCTGATAAAATGTTACTCTGTAAATCTTTAAACTGTCACCTCCTCAACTCCTCCTGATATACCTGTGATTAGCTGGTGATGTCTCTCACCACTGGATGTCACTTTTGCTCCAAGAGGAAGTCAACCCAAACTAACCTAGTAATTAGGGTCTGAGCCCTCAGTTATCTGTAAAGATTCAACACAAGTCTCTCCATAAATGACAAAACACTCATACTTTCTAGAGATTTCTTGCCGAGATCTGGCTTCAGAAGACCCTAGGCTTTAAATATAATACAAAGAAAACCTAAGTTAGAGTTCTAAAGTCATCAGAAATCACAACGAAAATCCACTGAAATTCTAATAACTGAACTTTTCAGCTCCTGTATGGACAGACAGGAAGAGAGGCAGGGCCGGCACTACAGCACATGGGGTAAGCAATGGCTGGAAGCACATCCCCTACCAGAGTGCCTGGGTATTGTTTGCCTCTCATCTGGTTTCCTGCTAACACGCTTGGAGGATGCAAATGATGGTTAGGTTACAGGGATCTAAATGGGATTCTTGCCTCCTGGCTTCGGTCTAGCCCAGCCCTGGTTCTTGGGGAATCTAGGGAGCAAACCACGAGATGAAAGACCTGCCTCTCCCATCTGGCACTCTGTCGCCTTTCAAATACATAAATAAAACTTAAAAAAAAAAAAATATATATATATATATATAAATGGAGAGATAAATGCACAGAAACAATACCAAACAAGTACCTGTTTTGGTATAAAATACTGAGATTTCCATACAATAAGTGCTGTTTTTGTCTGATCTCAATTAATAGTCTTTTAACCGTTATGAGAAAAGAAATCAGAAAAAGTAGAAGGGAATGACTTCCACATTATTCATGCTGTCATTCTGTCACATTTGGTGGCTACATCCAATCAATGAAAATAGTAGCTGGAAACTGTGTTGTTATTTTACAAATTCAAAGTATGCAAATGATGGAGTTGTTTTCTCTCATACAAACATGAAGAGTCTTCCAGTAACCATAGCAACAGGAAGACACTAGTGACTACCTAGAAACATCCTCCTCTCCTCTCCTCTCAGGTCTCTCTTCCCCAGAACCAATGCCACTGAAGGCAGATACCAAACGGAGACACTTTACATCCTGGGTGGGACACACACATTCTCCATGGTGTTCCTCCCCAGGTTCTAATGCCATCAAAAACAACCAATGAATCACTGTCATGGTAAATTACATTACTGACGGGACATGCTGCATTCACTGATTTTACTGAAGTTAAAAAAAAAAAAACAGTTATAAACCACTGACTTAAATGAATCATCTAGTGTTGGCCTATTAAAAAAAATGCTTTTAGATTCTGGAGAAAAGTATGCCTGCAATGACAAAAGTTACAAAGGTCCAGGGTTGTAGAAACTATCTCCGCTGTTCCTCAGGTCCTCTGCTGGGTTGAGGAGACATAAGGTTTTTAATTACAAAAGCCATATCACAAACTCTGGGTGAGTACAGTGCAAAGAGGGCTAATGGCACAGCCATGAGAAGGATGAGTTAAGACTTATATGGACTAGCCTGGACACATTATCACTTTGAGAAAGTATCTCTTGGGAAACTGCATGTTGGCTCCTACGCGGCATCTAGAAATAGACTTGTTGGATGATTTGGATTTTCCCAATTAATCTCTACAAGATTAGTAGCAAAATGTATTGCTTAATTACTAAATGAAACATATCACTGAACTCTCAGACTCAGCTGCACATTTTATTTCCCTAAGACAGTCAATCATGCTTCACAGAAATCCCTCTAGTAACAGTCACTTGCCTTTTTCTGGGCAACTGCAGCTCGTTGCAGCTTCTCTCTGGCTTGCTTACACTGCTCTTCTCTGTGTGTCACGTGCTCCTGCAGCCTATGCTTCTCTTCAAGCCACTCCATGTGTTTCTCTTCCAATGTCCTGTCAGATGTAGGCAACAGCTGAGGATTACTGGGCACATCGCAGGTACAATCCCCAACAGCCTCGACACATCCCTACACACACCTACATACATCCTTTTATGGCCACACAATTGCTAACGCATCATTACTGAGCATTTATAAATCAATCATTCTGCTTAGAACAGCAAGGGCACTGTGTCCCACTGCCTACGTTAGCCAGCCTTTTGTCCTTGTAACACAATCCCCAAGACAAGCCAGTGTGAAGGAAGCAGCCTTATTCTGGACCATGGTTTGGATGGTTCACAGTACCAGCTCAGGCATGCCCTTTCATCTGGCAGAGCCTGCTGAAGCCACAGGATGGCAATGGCAGAACTTGTGCAGAGTAACGACCGCACAGATTCAGGGAGCAGAAAAAAGCAGGACCCAACTCACACTTTTGTAACCAACCCTCACTTCACAAACACTTTCCAATGCTGTGCCAAACTGCCACCTAAGAAACTTCCACTACATCCACCTTTTAGACATTGTAACTCAATCTGCTCCTAGCTATTAGTACTACCAGCTTGGGTTTGGGCTTCAACTGCCTGAAGGGATCTAGAAGCCATATCCTATTCAAGCCATAGCATTTTTCATGCAAATGGCTCAGTTAAGTATTGCTATTAAATATTTTGGGTAGATTTGGAAACTAAGGTTTAGTGTTTATTGCTGACTAACATCAAACAAATGACAGGAAAACAGTGAGTAATTAAATGACTATTAAAAATAGGTCTGATACCAAATCTTAATGCAGTGTACTTTCTGGCTACAACACAATTCATATATTTAAGGTAATATCTTAATAACTTACATTCTTAAAGTCATTCTGCATACTTTATGTGATTTGTAATATAACTATGGGCAGTAAAAATGAGAATAACATGGGGCTAGTGTTGCAGCACAGCAGGTTACACCCTAGTGTCCCACAGGGTGATGGTTCCTATCCCAGCTGCTCCCTGCTAACAGCTCAGGTAAAGCAGCAGCAGATGGCCAAGTGCTTGGGCCAGCGCCTCACATGTCGGAGAAGCACATGAAGGTTCTGCCTTCTGCCTTCAGCCTGGCTCAGGTCCGGCTGCTCTGACTACTTCAGGAGTGAACCAACAGATGAAAGAGCTTTCTGCATTTCCCTTTGATTTTCAAATGCATAGTTTTTAAAATGAGAATAATAAATTCTGAGAAGTTAAATTACTTGCCAAAGGTAATCAAATAAAATGAAGACTAAAATCATAACTCTACTGACCATTATTCTAGCTATTTTCTTCTACATGATTTAGAAACCAATGATGAATCACTTCAATTTACTGCCTACACTATTCTTTTTATTATTATTTATTTACTTTTATTACAAAGTTAGATATACAGAGGAGGAGTGATAGAGGAAGATCTTCCATCTGATGATTCACTCCCCAAGTGATCGCAACGGCTGGTGCTGTGCTGATCCAAATCCAGGAGCCAGGAGCTTCTTCCAGGTCTCCCACACAGGTGCAGGGTCCCAAGGCTTTGGGCTGTCCTCGACTGCTTTCCCAGGCCACAAGCAGAGAGCTGGATGGGAAGTGGAGCTTCCGGGATTAGAACTGGACCCATATGGGATCCTAGTGCATTCAAGGTGAGGACTTTACCCACTAGGCAATTGTGCCAGGCCCATGCTACCTATACTATTAGAATTCTTAAATTTAGGGAGTTGGCACAGTGGAGTTAACAGGATAATCCTCTACCTGTTAGCACTGGCATCTCATCGGGGCACAGATTTGAATTTCTGCTATTCCACTTCCAATCTAGCTCCCTGCCTGTAGGCTGGGAAGTAGTGGAGGAAGGCTCAAATCCTTAGGTCCTGCAGCCCATCTGTTAAGGTCGTTTGGGGAGTGAATCAATAGATGAAGACCTTTTTCTTCATCTCCCCTTCTCTCTGTAAAATCAGACTTACGAAGGAGTAATCCTTTTTACAAGCTTTTTAAATTTACATCAAACACTTCAGGATTCTAAGATATAATTTTTATTCCTTGCCTTTTGCTTTTTGGGTAAGCATAAAAATAAATGAGAATTATCTGAACTCTTGCAACATATTTGGTATACAGCTTCTTTATTCCCTTTTCTTGAGATTCAACTCCTTATATGACACCAAAGACAGATGTTAAAATACGAAAAAAAAAAAAAAAAGAACCACTTCAAGTAGTCTTCACAAACTGAAAAAGAATGTTTTGAAGATAACAGTAAAAACTTATAAAACCAAGTTATAAAGCAAAGCTAAAACAAATCAAAACAAAACACCCCAGAAAATATGTTATCCTGAACGCCAAAATAATTTTGCCAGTATTAGTTTCTGTACAATCTACTAATAACTTTCAAAATTTCAAAAATTAAACCTACAAAATAGCTTTTCAAAGAAAAAATCTAAGAAACTAGTTTTAGAGTTTTTTTTGCATCAAAAAATTTTAAAAAATAAAACTAAGTAATTCTATTCGCTTGCTTACATTTCTGGATTGGGAAAAATATTCAAAAAAGGTAGTTTACCCATGACCAAAAGAAGTTTTTCTTTGAGAATTTTCAGAACACTGCACGCAGACAGAATTTTAGAAGCTCAATATATACAATTACAATTATTAAGAGGTATTTGTCACTTGTTCCTAAAACACTGTCAACTGTGGAATTGTCAAAATAATCATATACAATAATTACTTTTCAGCGGCCAGTTGAGTTTTTTCCGTTTGGCTTCTCAGATTTCGGCATTCTTGTTTTAACCTTTCCACCATTTCCTTCAGCATTTCATTTGAATTCAGCAGTTCATTCTCTGACTGTGTCAGCGATGTTAGCTGAATCTGCAAACTACTGACTTGCTTAAAAGAAAAGAACGAACAGGAACATGAGGTCACTAACCAAATGCATTCAGTGAGAAGCAGAGAGCACTAAGCCATCCCCATCACCAACGCCCTACTCAGGGGGCCCTGGAAGGACTCCTCCTCAATGAGGAACAGTAGGCACTAGGATCAGCTCCTGTTGCAACACCAAGCAGAGACCACACTCTCCTTGGGACTCTCTTCCCCAAACAAGCAGACCAAGAAGGGGTCCTTAGCAGGAAAGTAGGGACTGTCGAGGCTCCTGTCACACTATCCTTTCTCAAGCTTTCTAGGAAACAAGGTGAATACAAGTTGACCTGGGAAGCAGCTAAAGAAAGAGCTGTCCCCTTCCTGAGTCTCCTGCCGTACCATCCCTTCCAGGAGAAGCTGCCAGAGAAGACCACGCTTGTTGGCTTCAGGCAAAGGGAGGATCATCCTCACACTTTTATTATTTCTTTTAACATTCATTTATTTACGAAGTCAGAGTTACAGAAACAGAGAGGAGGGAAGGAAGGGAGGGAGGGAGGAAGGGATCTATTCACTGTCGAACTGGCTGAATGGACAGGGGTGAGCCAGGCCCAGGTCAGGAGCTTCAGAGACAGAGAGAGAGAGAGCGAGAGAGGGAGAGAGAGGGAGAGGGAGAGAGAGGGAGAGAGGGAGGGAGAGAGGAGAGGGAGGGAGGGAGAGAGGGAGGAATGGAGGAAGGGATCTATTCACTGTTCAACTGGATGAATGCACAGGGGTGAGCCAGGCCCAGGTCAGGAGCTTCAGTCAGGTTTCCCAAGTGGCTGCAGGAGCTGGGTCATCCTCTGCTGCTTTACCAGGCTGTGAGCAGGAAGCCAGATCAGAAACTGAGCAGCTATGACACAGACTGGCACTCATATGGGATACTAGCATTGCAGCTGGCAGCTTGAACACTACACCACAGTGCCAGACCTACAATGTTTAAGAAGTTTCCAAGTAGAGCCGGTGTGGTTGCCTAGCAGCTAAAGTCCCCTCATTGTATGCACAGGGATCCCATATGGGCACCAATTCTAATCCCGGAAGCTCCCTGCTTATGGCCTGGAAAAGCAATTGAGGACAGTCCAAAGCCTTAGGACCATGCACCTGTGTGGGAGACCTGGAGGAAGCTCTTGGCTCCTAGTTTCGGACTGACTCAGCACCAGCCATTGCAGCCACTTGGGGAGTGAATCATCGGATGAAAGATCTTCCTCTCTGTCTCTCCTCCTCTCTGTATATCTTTTCTCCATCCAAATTTACTTGGGAGAATTTTTTCTCAGAAAAGCAGGTAATTATCCAGGTAAAGATGAACAGGCTAAAAAGATTCACAGGGCTTTTAAGTTATTCCCAAACAGTTTTCATCCATTTCCCCACAAGTAACAAATAATAAAAGTTCTCATTTTTCCTTCAATTTCTTTCACCTCTCTAAACCTTTCTCTTAGAATTTCAAAGAGTTCAAAGAATGAAATAAAAAGAACCTATTATGTGATTCAAGAGTCAAAAGAAACAAGATTCTTCATGCAATAAATTAAATAAATGTGAAATTATCCCTTCACATGCTGACAGGTAGAAAAGTCAAATAAGATAGGACTCTGCAAGGCACAGAGCAATGTTAGTTGAAAAAAGGAACATGGTATACTTCAGATTTGGGCTTTAAAATTAATTTTTCCAAGTAGAAGTATTCACTTCTTATTTTTAACTGAAGCGGCAAATATTCAGTCTATATTAAAGCTGCTAAAACAGGCAACCTTCAAAAGAGCTTAACATCTCTCCACATCCCCAGGATGACAGACGGCCAATGCCAGTATTAGCATTCACTTCTCTCAGAGTATCAGAACTTATGGGCACTTTGTTAGTGATTAGAAATTGTATACTTGGGCTTGGCGTGGTGGTCTAGTGGTTAAAGTCCTCACCTTGAATGCATTGGGATCCCATATGGGCACCGGTTCTAATCCCAGCCACCCCGCTTCCCATGCAGCTCCCTGCTTGTGGCCTGGAAAAGCAGTCGAGGACGGCCCAAAGCCTTGGGACCCTGCTCCCATGTGCGAGACCTGGAAGAAGTTCCTGGCTCCTGGCTTCAGATAGGCACAGCACCAGCCATTGCAGCCGCTTGTGGAATGAACCATCGGATCTTCCTCTCTGTCTCTCCTCCTCTCTGTATATCTACCCTTCCAATAAAAATAAGTAAATCTTTTAAAAAAAGAAATTGTATACTTGAAAAAAGAGTACCAGCTATCCTACAATCACAAATGCCAGAAACAGAATCTTCATTACTTTATGATTTCAAGAAAAAAGTGAAATTCAGGAAAGAACACTCTCCCCTAGTCTATCCTTAAATATATCTTTTCAAAATCCAAACAACTTAAAATATGAATTTCCTTTCACATACAATAACTCACATACAATAACTCCAAGTTTAATTCTTACACTTCATAGGGATACATTAAGAGATATCTTGTGGAATAAATGCATAATGTTACAGGTGAATCAAGTAATATACAGCCTCAATGATCTTCCTAATCAATGAAAAAATTTAAAATATCAAAATATTACCCTTTTATAATTACAAAATCAAAAAACTAATGAGCTACAGCATACTGATATCTGAAAAAAGCAGCTTAGTAAAAGGAAATTAAGATTTAAACATTTCATATTGCATATCAACCTCTTCAATAGTGCTACTTATTGTTGAAATCAGATTTTTCAAAATGTTGATATATGAAACCATGCAAAACAGATTCTTACATGTATCTGAAAAATAAAGCAAACTGTATGCTAACATCATACCTGTTTTAGGTCAGAATTTTCATTTTTTTCTTTCTCTGCCTTTTCAATATCCACAATTTGTTGTTGAAGTTTTAACCTGAAAACCATAACCCAACAAAAGACATTATTAACAAGCATAGTTCACTAATTTCACTGGAATAAACAATCATTTTACAGACAGCTTATTTGTCACCAGGCCTTGTGCTTACGGAAAATGGTACATATAATCACAGACAGAAGTAGAGCAGCTAGCTTACGTTCTCATATTAATAAAATGCAAGACATGTGCTACTTTTAAAACAGGGAAAAGTTTCAGACTATGCCCATAGAGAAGATGTGAAATCATTTCTGTGGGGCATCAGACAAAACCACGTGGAGACTAAGAACCTGACAGCAGGTTACCGAAAATAGTGAACAGGTTAAACAAGGAGTCTTAGTGCAAGGCAGCAAGCAATCCAGTTTAGGATAAATCCTATCCAATCCATGAGATTCTTACAATTTAACGATGCTTTCAGACTCACTGCCACTTCAACTCTTGTCTACAGGTAAAGATTTAAAAGAAAACTGGGCCAGATGCAGTAGCCCAGCAGCTAAAATCCTCACCTTGCACATGCTGGGATCCCACATGGGTGCTGGTTCTAATCCCAGTGGCTTTGCTTCCCATCCAGCTCCCTGCCTGCAGCCTGGGAGATCATTCAAGGAAGGCCCAGAACCTTGTGACCCTGCCCCCGTGTGGAGACCCAGAAGAAGCTCCTGGCTTTGGATCAGTTCAGCTCCAGCTGTTGCGGTCACTTGGGAAGTGAGTCATTGGACGGAAGATCTTCCTCTCTGTCTCTTTTCCTCTCTGTATATCTGACTTTCCAATAAAAACAAATAAATCTTTTAAAAAAAGAACGAAAACAGACCCTACAGGTCATTCTAGACACTGCTTCACGAGCTTGCCATGCCTGAGATGGGTGAACACTTCCAGTGTAACTTCAGGGGCAGTGACAGGTACTGAGCCAGACCCATCTGAGGATGAAGAGCATCTCTGGTGACCAAATGTTTCACCTCATGAGGAAGGCTTTACATGAATCAGCCCTGAAACTCCTACTCCCGAAAATTCTTCATTCAAATAGAATTTATGTGGCACTTTTTTTTTTAATAGGCTGGCAACATTAGCCTATCTTATCTGCTCAATAAGAACATGCTTAATGGGTGTTTAAAGCTCTCAAAATACTTAGGCTGTGCTTTACGTACAGTAAGAATTCAATAAATATATTCTGATGACTAAATGAATGACTCTACATACTGTCCACATGATTACACAATATCATATGGAAAAAACTTGTAGATATGACCTACAGCTTCATGACTTATTTAGATAAAAATAACAAGTATCTAGGGCCCTGCCACATACATATAGGAGCTCCAGATGAAACGCCAGGGCCCTGGCCTCCACCTGGCCCGGCACTGACCAATGCAGCCATCTGTGGGTGGGGGACAGTGAACCAGCAGGTGGATTCTCTGTAATTCTTCCAACATAAATAAAAAATCTTTTCTTCAAAGATTTACTGTAAAGTCAGATATACAAGAGGAGAGACAGAGAAGATCTTTCATCCAATGTCCCAAGTGACCACAATAGCCACTGCTGTGCCAATCCGAAGCCAGGAACCAGGAACTTCCTCCAGGTCTCCCACACAGGTGCAGGGTCCTAAGGCTTTGGGCCATCCTCGACTGCTTTCCCAGGCAACAAGCAAGGAGCTGAATGGGAAGTGGAGCTTCCGGGATTAGAACCGGTGCCCATATGGGATCCCAGTGCATTCAAGGTGAGGACTTTAGCCGCTAGGCCACCACTCTGGGTCCAATAAATAAATCTTTTAAAACAAACCAAAAGAGAGAGAGAGACTCTACATATCATTATATGCTATCACAAATGCATTCACTTCCAAGTCTGAGAAAAAACTTGTCTCACTGGCCCAGTCTCTTGCTCCCTGCTGTAACAAACAATGGGTAATTCTTCTCAAGATGTGGTGTAAACAGAAAAGAAGACACACTGAGTAGCTATTTTATTTAAAGATTTAAATTTATTTATTTTTAAGTTATAAAGAAAGAGAAGATGACAGGAACAGGCAGGGATGGGCCAGGCATTAAACAGGAATTTTATGCAAGTTTTTCTACCCAAATATTTGGGCCATCTTTGGCTGCTTTTTCAGGCTATTAGCAGGGAGCTGGATTGAAAGTGGAGCATCCTAAATACAAAGCAATGCCAGCATTACAAGCAGTAGCTTTATCTGCTAACCACTTAGCCCCTTCAGTAATAAGTTTTTAAAAAGGCAAATATTCATTACCAACAAGACTCCAGTAATTAAAACATTTACAAAAGATTAAGAAAAATTAGAAGGTAGGTCCTAGATGGAAAGCAGCTGTGGCTTTTAAACAATGCAAAAGTTCTTCTAAAGGAGTACAGATGAAATATGCCTTATTCAAAGTGCTTGGGACCTGAAATGTTTAAGATGTGAAGTTTTTCAGATTTTCAAACATTTGCATGGATTTCTTCAGATTTATAATTCAAAAATTCCCTGAAGTCCCTAATTTCTGAGACCACACTGGACACTCAGAAGGTTTTTCACTTTCAGAGCACCTGGTGTTCAAAGTAAGGACTATAACACAGGTTTGCTCCAGGACATCTCAAATCATCTAGATTCCTTCTTCCTGAAGATGGTGTTGGCTGGTCTCCTCCCCAGATCAACAACTGTACCTCTCCCCGCAACTGCCAATGGCCATCAAACTGTGGTCACCCTTCTTCTCCAGCCACCCTTTTCAAACAGGCATAATACAATGTGACTGATCCAGTGCTGGGTCCTCACTGGTCAGTGATAAGGTTGAGACCCTAAACCTTGTTTACATTTTTCTAACTTAAATCGTCAGCTAAAAATTCTGTCCTCTTTGGGTTTTAACATACATCACAGCATCACAGAAAAAGCACAAGGAGACCATAAAGGAGATTGGGAAGTGGGAGAGGAAAGGAGAAGGAAGCCACACCCCTCTGACACTGGAGTTCCTAAATCCAGGCATCCATGACACCAACACAAGCCCTGGCCTTTCCTCAATATAAACAGCCAAGAACACTGTTTTTCTGCTTGTTGCCACTGTAACCAAAAGCTAACTACATACTTTATCATATGTAAACTCCTGTAACTCTTCCGTGTTTGACATGTACAGGTAACTTTGAAACTGTACAAACTGAACAATGTATTGTGGAGCAAAATTTTGAAAGAAACAGTTTTATAAAAATAGTTTATTACTCCTGGCACTATAGTAAGCTATTGGTAAATAAACCATTTTAACCAAGACAAAAGAATTATAAATAATTAATGATTCAGAGCATCTGCCAAAACAATGATTAATATTTAGAAGATTGATATATACTAATTTGTTATATTATTTGTAAGTGAATGCTTAATTCTGCTTCATATGATTTATACTTTTCATTACTCCACAAAAATCTATTTCTTCACAGCTTATTCTCTGTCCTATAACAGATTTTGAATAACAGAAGATACAATTATGATTGTTTCAATAAATGATCAAAATAGACCCGAATGACGTAGCTTCACTTATAAATCGGTAAATCAGCGCCGCCATGAAAAAGGAAAAACAATCGCAGTGGTAAAGCAGCTCAAAAGTCATGCAGGTCTTCTGACTTGCTCCTGCTACGCCTTATGTTGGTTATTATGTCACTGTTTTAAAATGAGGGTCAGTTAAACATACGTATCATCTGGAGAAACTGAAGAAGAATCAAGGAGAAATTATCCAAATACGTAATGGAATGGGAAAATCATTTACATTAAAAAAAAAGCTTAATGAAGTAAAGCTATTTTTATATGGCAAAACCCCAAGCCAAAAAAAACATAAGGGTCAAGTTCATTATTGTCTTCAAGTAATGACAGAATGCTGAACATTTTATCACTATGGCAACAGAAGCCCAAAGCAGCAGAAGCAGGCTTAAATTCTAACAAAAAAGATCCTAACCAGCTGAATTGTGAGAATATAATAGGATAAAACATTACAGTGAGATTCCTGGGGAAGGTCTCTCCTTTGGAGATTGTCAAGAGATTAGGGAAAAAAAAAAAAGAAGAAGAAGAAGAAACAACCACTTATACTGAAGAGTTTAAAAATGTACTGATGTGCAAGAGTGGCTCTCAAAATCCATTACATATATAAATGACTCTAAAATCAAACTAATTGGATGAAAACAGTTCATAAAATCTGACACAAGTAAACAATACATATACCACTCCCTGAAATTCTTTCCAGAATACTGTGGATAAACAATCTTTTCTGGACACAAAATATCCTATGGGGGTTGGTACTGTGACGTGCAGGTTAGGCTGCCACTGGCAATGATGGCATGTTCCATTACTTCCACCTGCTAATACACCTTGGAGGACACCCAGATGAGCTTCCAAGCATCTGGCTTTGGTCTCTAGGGAGTCAGACAATGTAACATTTCTCCCTCTCTCTGGTAACTCTGCTTTTCAAATAAATAAATCTTTAAACATACACACACAAGCTACTTATAATTTAATGAATATATTTCTATTTATTTCAGAATTCTTATTTAATTTATTTGTAAGGCAACAGGTCTCACTCAGTCTAGGTACGTCATGTGAGTGGCACAGACACAGAACTTGAGCTCTAACCTACTGCCTCCTGGGCAGCACATTAGCATGATGTCTGACTTGGAAATGAAGCTAAAACTTCAACCCAGGCTCTCCAATATGGAATGTAAGCATCCCAAGCAACATTTTAATTACACACCGAGTGCCTGCCCCTGAATATAATTTTTGAAATTCACCCAGCTGTAATCTATATAACTAGAGAATCTGCCAAGTTGCTTTTATTTAAAAAGTAGAAAAAGGGAGTCTGGGCATAAAAATCAACATTGGCTGTCTAGCTCCACATTACTTACATATGAATGAAAACCATAGGCGAAGGAAGAACAAATAAATTCACACACACAAAAAATACCTTTGTCAGACAAGAAATGTTCAAATCTCAAAACAAGTATCAAAGGGGAGAGAGAAAAAATAAAACCAACCCAAACCCCAGCAA